CATCCAGAAAGCTGCCAGCTTAGACTGGTCCCAGCCCCCACGTCCACTGGCAAAATCAGCCCTGCACCCAGCACTGATCCTACTGTAGACTTGGTGGCGGTATCCAGCGTGGTTCTGAGCTCTACTAGAACACTACCACAGAACTGTGGACATCAGAGGAATTTTATTATTTTTCTTTGTTTATCTATTGCTTTGTTGAAATTTATGTATGACCTTAAATTTTGAATGTGTCTATTTGTCTTTATTTTGACCTTAAGGAATGAAAAATTATACCTCATGAAGGGAGGAGTTGCAGAATGTGTCAGAGAAAACCTGATCGTGCTGGGATTCTAACCTCAGCTAAGCCAGTAAGCAAGCAGACAAAACAATAAATGTTAATAGTAAGTGACAGAGAGGTGATACTATTGTTATAAGCAGCTGAGCTAAACAGAAATATTAAAGGCAGTCAGACAGGGCTGGGTCCTCAAAGGAGCCAGGACAGAAGAACAGATACTTTGCAGCTGTGGGGGAGACAGACACTTCTGCTGTGGGCCAGAACTCAAGACAAAAGGCAAAACAAATGTAACCACAGCCTAAGTATAAACACCAGAGATTGATATTCTAAATAGGTATGGTCACCTTTAGGAAGCCAGGAGCCACCATCCCAAACCCCTCTTTAAGCATGCCACTTTGCCACGTGACTCACTTCCCCATTTGTCCCCTGATTTGGTCAATTTTACCTGAGCAGTTAATCTTACTGGTTGACCATAGCTCTATCCCACTTCATACCCATCGTGGACCTGTCTCACCTCCTGAATTTGCTCTATAAAAGTCCCTGGAAAAGACAGTCTTTGACAATTCACTTGGGATTCCTTTTTCTCTCTCTCCAAGAGAGAAGCTTGCTTTCTCCCAATAAATATATTCTGCTCTTAACCTTTGTTGTCCCTAAAATTCATTCTTCAATTTTAGAGGATGCAGACTCATACCAGACATCTAATAGGTTGGGCGTTTCATTTCCCTATCACTTTTTATAAAGAGTAACTGTTGATACCAGATAACAGATGGTACATCTCCATGAAACGTCTTTAAGAAACTCCAAGTAGCTTATTTTGATGTAGTCTTCTTGGGGGGAGATTTTTGTCATGCTCCATAGGAAGATTACTTTCACATCAATGAAACAGAATATAGCAGTACTCTTTAGGTTAAATATAAAGGTAAAGGTGAAGCAAGCATTTAGCTTGTAATTTTAGTAAGTAAACCCTTTCCAAAAAGAGGCGGAATGCTAGGAACTCTACCTCTCACAGATGGTCTGCATAGGCTGTCATTTCAGAATATCAAGAGTCCTTCAGTTTATCAACAAAAACAATCCTTGACTGATGAAAAGGAATCTTTATCAAAATCAGGATACCACACAGATGTTTTGGCTTAATGCAAAAATAACATCTTAAACTTCTTGTAAATTAAGATGGTATAAAATCAAACATAAGAGGCCGTGTAAATAATGGAAGAGGAGCATTCTGAGAGCTAAGTGCTCTGGAGGCAGAGGAAGATCCCTTGACTTTTCTTTTATGGTTTATGGCAAGAGTGTCCTCCAAATGCCTCACGTGCTCACAAGGGTGCCTTGTGGAAGATGATTGACTAGTGGGAGTGCTGTACCCCGGGAGAATCTTGGACTGGTGAGCTGAATGGGTGGTTGGAAGGTGCTCACGGTCAGAAGAGGCAGGTTACACGGGATGGTACATCATCTCTGGCTCTTCCCTTCTCCTGCTGCTTCCTGAGGGTAATGAAGTGAACACCTTTTCTCCCCCACCAGACTTTTCCGCTATGCCCTCCTTGGTGCTGGCTGACTATGGACTGAAGATGCGAAACAAAACCCAGTGAACCTTTGTTTTGTAATGGCTAATACGTCGCAGCAACCTGGGAAGTTTAGAAGTCTAATGAAGTGATTCAGCTGCGGGCCAGCGTCCTCACTTTGTAAACACCCTCAATCCGTGTGGGAGGAAGGGGTGGAGGCGGTGTGAACGGTGCGTGCTGCGCCCGCCCGGAGGCTGCTGTGTGACAGGATCTGAGGTGGCCCTCCTCCGGGTTGCTCTTGCTGCTTTTGCTGCTTCTGCCACCTTGAAGTCTTGCCCGAGCGCCATGCCACCCTGCTTTGGGGAAATCTCTACAAACTGCGGGCTAGATAAACCTTCCCCTTCCTAATTTTGGGTGTTAGATATTTTGTTACAGCAATGGGAGAAAAGTAACCGAGACACCTTTCCTCCCTTACGTTGTGGGCATTGGGTAGGTATTGTGTCCCAGGAGCCAGAGTGTGACTAAGTTATTGCCCAACAGAGGTGAATAAAAAGAACATTTCTTAGTCACAGTTGGGAATTAGAAGTTAATATTTTCTCTTTATTCTTTCCCAAGTCACGCAACTTAGCAACAGAAATATAGTTTTTATCTTCTATTAAAGGAGATAACTGATGCTCTGGACTATAAACTTGGAGGAAGTGTCACATGAAATCAGCAGTGGGGGAAGGAGAGGGGTCGCAGGTGACTGGCTCATCGCCTGGAGTCCGAAGTCTACAGTTGAGGAATCCAGACAATATTTCCTCTGGTTTACAGTTAAGGAATCCAGATGATTATTTCCTAGATACACCACCTAGAAAAACTCAGTCAGAAAAATGTAATTACTTTAAAGCCATGTGGGGTGTTGCAGCCTGTAATCTCAGTCCTTTGGGAGGCTGAGACAGAAGGATCACAAATTCAGCCCTAACCTGGGCAACTTAGAAATGCAGCAAGATGCTGTCAGGGTGTACTCCACCTCAATGGCTGGAAATCCTGTTCTGTGCAAAGACCCTGGGTTCAGTTTCCAGTAACACACACACACACACACACACACACACACACACACACAAATAATAACCAAAGAATAATTTGCATTATGTCTAACCAATGATGCTCTAAAACAAAGGAGTAAATAGGACAAAACAGCAAGAATATAAAAACACTGCTATTGTAAAATAAGCAATAATTTTTGATATATATGAAAAATTGTTTTAAAAGGCAACAAAGTATTTATTGATATAAAGTACAAATACAAAATTAAGTACTCAGACAAGACAGTGTATAACAATAGAAGATGCACTATGGAACGTTTGAAAAATGAAATAAAAATAAATTATAGAAATAAAGCCAAAATTAGAAGTAGAATAAAAGCCACTTCTACATAGTAGAAAACATTGAAAAGAGTAACTGTTGGAAAAAAATTTGGATTTTGGGCACAGGAAATGAATATAGTGCCTAACAGTGTTTCTAAAAAGCCAACTGAAATTGATTGAATAAATAGATTTAAATATAAAGACCATTAACATTTAAAAATGAGTTTTAAAAAAGTTAAAATTACTTGAAAATCCTCTTGAAATTACATAAAATATCAAGAAAGTGTGGGTTTCAGATCAATTGTTTTGCACATACAAAAAACAAATTTTCCTAAGGGAATGTATTAGCCTGACCTTCCCGGCTTGCAAGGTTCAGCTTTTAAATACAGTGCAGCAGTGTCTACAGTCGCTGACAGGAAACGGTGGAGCCTCAGGAGGGCTGAGAGCAAAGGCTGCTTCGCAGGTAGAAGTTACCAGCCAAGTTTCTACCTGGCAGAAGCTGACCGTGTTGTTCCAGGGAATCTTCATGTCCAGCTGGCCCAGGAGTGCGCTCCCTTCTCCTGCCTCCGTCCTCCTGTGGCTAAGGGTCCTTGCAGATCCCTTGTGTTGATTTGCGGCCAGTTCCCGATTCATTGTGCTTCCCACCCTAGAATCCTGTATCTCCAAAATGGATCCCCAAGAATGTTTTCGCTGGCCTTCTAAGACCTGACTTGCCATCTTTCTGAGTCGCTGCATTTCGCTTTATTTCAGTGGAGACACAGGCTCTTCTGAGGGCTTCACTCCACAGTCATTTTATTTCCCATCTTCATTAACTAACTTCAGATTCCGTCATGTTTGTCCCTGCAACAAGAACTTTTAGCCTTTTTCATCAACCTCCACTATTACGTGGTACCTAAGGATCACGTTATACAAGTATGGCATCACAAAATAAGGTTAAGGTTTGAATACAAAATGTAAAAAAAATTATTACAGTAAAAAAAAACACATTGCCTTTAAGTCCTCTTAAAATATTCCTCCTTACTTTGAAGATAATTATCTCATCATTTTTGCCACTTTCTAAAAAACAAATTCTGAAAGTTCTCTTCCTATTTTTGTGTGGCTGCCTTAATATCCTGAATCAATTCAAAATGTTTATGTTCGAGTGTGTGGGGTGGAAAACCATATTACTGAGCTTTTGTTGGATCATTGAACAGAACTGTCTCCAATTTCACTGTATGAATGTCCACTTTATATGCTTTAATTTTGTAATTTGGACAACTGTTTCTGGGAAGATAATATGTAACCTATTAACTGGTGATTTCTTACTGTATATTTTTTTTCTTGAAATACTGTATTATTTGTACCCTTTTACTGCTTTGTTTTTTTATGTCCTTATTTTCCTCTTTAAATAAAAAAAAACAAAAAAAAACAAAGTGTTTACTGAAATATCTGTTAAGTAGGGACTATACAGTGTGTCCTTATGTGCTTTATGCATTAGATCTGACATCGTGCAACTTCTGCATATTCCCCAAAGTTAAAATGACCATAAAAAGTAAAGTTTTGAATTGATTTATGATATTAAGGCAGCCGTGACAATGCAGCTAAAGGAACAAAAGAGGACTTTAGCACTGCTTCAAAAAGTGGCAGGGAAGGAGGAGTGTGTGTGGGGGAGGAGTTTTGAATAAGATTCTTGGCAATACATCTTTTATTATCATAAATAAAAATTTACTGCATTTTTTTTTATCATACCTCCATATGTTCATGTTCAAAAGTTAACTTGTTCTGGTTTTGCCATGAATCAGAGAGCAACATTTATAAAATTTGGGTAACCAATCACAGTGATTCTGAGGTTTTATCTATGTCTTCATTGGTATATTGTTTTATAAAGAAAGATACAAGTGTTTGCATCATCACAGCTAGATCAGAACCTAAATAATAGAGATGGTTTCTCACAGATTTACTCTGCAGCATTAATCACTGCAGACAGGTCTCAGCTTCACTAAGGAAAAATGTATGTGAGTTTGTGAATACATAGTTTTAATATTTGAAATTGTCTATCAGGATGTTTTAAAAGAAGTTGGATTCATAAATTTATCTTTCAGGGAGAGCACAGCACTGAGGTCTCTGCTTTATTTTGATTAGAGTATGACAAGATGACATAGGACGTGAACTACAGACTAAATGAAGAAGAAGAGACAGAACCTGAAGTCAGGAAGACAGATGGGAGTACAGAGGTACTTCGAGTAAGTAATGCATGTGGATTAAATATTTAAAAAGACATATAAAAAGACATGGAAGAGCAAGCTCTGGATGATACTTGAGTAATTATAAATGGGAAAATAATCTTTAGCATGCTGGTATTCAGGTGAAGTTCAGCTTTGGGTATAGTAAAGAGAAGGTAAAAGAATGGCTTAATAGAAAAAATAGCAGAATTTTGACTATATGCAAAAATTAGGGTAATAATGATACATTGATACAGATGAAAAGATGCCAGGTAGCAGGAAATGTTGTAAGTACTGTCATAAATGTCTGTGAAACACTTTTTAAGAGCCATTCCTAATATATGTAGTATAAAATAAAAGTACTTATGAAACTACGTATGAGAGAAAGAAGGAGATATTTATAAGGTTTGGTTCATAGGAGAATATTAACAGCTCCAGGAAGAATGCAGGGTTAGAATGCTGGCCTCATGCCCACATTCAAGACAGGGGATTCTTCTAAAGAGCAAATGCTGACAGGGCCTTGTGGATCCTACATCCCCTTCTGAGTGACCGTCAGAGCCTGGGCTTAACCCCGGTTTGGGATTTGTGATAAATGTTTTCAGGATTGAGGAGTCACAAGTGAGACTCGGACTTCAGACAGCCTTATTTTAAGCATGATTCTGAAATCAAGGTCTAAGTCAGACATTTCTATATTGTTATTGTGATATAGTGTCTTTTCTGGTAGCTGGAGTCCTACAATATTCCTTTTGAAGTTCTAACTCAGAAATAAACCCAGCCCTTCCTTTTTTCTAGCAGCTGACCACTGCCTTCACCTTGTTATTGTAGGAGTTTTTCGTAACCACTGGGTTTTGTAGTTGAGCCTCAGATACAGAAACCTAAAGTCCAGTGTAAATGTTAGAGCTAGTGAAAGATGGCAAACATAGTGGAAAATCCAAAAGCACTTTCTACACTACGCCTGCTGTGTCAGTGTCACAGGACCTGTGCAAGTATTCTGGGGACTTTGGACTGACCTGGTGTTCCCTGGGCACAGTTTCTTATTACGTCGGTTAACAAGAACAGAAGTGAGTATGGCTAATTATAGTCCATCATGAATCAGTCTGGGTTCCTCTGGGAGCAATACCAGAAACTTGAGCTTGGATCCACATAATTCATATTGGAGCAGGAATGAAAGTGTGAGGCAGTATGACAGAAAATGCATTCATTACTGATGTCACTATCACTTCTAATTTCATAAGATGCTCTGCAAAACAACAACAGCAAAAATGCCTGGCTTTCCAGAAATGTGTGGGTGAAAAACGGGCATGTGAAGATTTTTCTGCAGCTTTTATTCCCAAGGATGAGATGGTCTCACTCCACACATTATCATCTCTACCTTCTCAGGCAATCTTGCATCCTTTGGAGTGATTTTCCCCTTATAATTTTGTTGATGAAGCACTTTTGGGGCCACCCTCTGAGTTATAATGGAGTCTATTCAATAGATCAGTGGTCATATTTAAAGAAGTTTTGATGGTATATTTTAATAGTTTTTATATTTATCCTGTCTGTTTTTATGTATTTTCAGGGCAATTTATGAGGAAGAAGGGAGGTATAATGTGACCCTTTAGGTGCTCACATCCTTGAAGATCTTCCTTCAAACCTCCAAGGCAAAAATAGCTAGCCAGATCCACAATTTTTATTACTATTCCACTTTCTGATATTGTTAAAAATGTTAGAACTACCATCCTAATGAATGTTTTTACCTCCACCGAGATCAGTCTCAGTTACTCTGATGCTATCACTTGCTTGTGGCTATCACAAGTAGCATCTAGTTCCCATTTTTCTGGTTAGTGATCTAGGTTTAGAATCCCATCCCAAGGTTTTGCTCTTTCTGTATATTCCAGAAACCAACAGTCTTAGGTTGAGTTCTCTAAAAAGTCAAACCTCAAATAGGGCTGTTTGCAGGTTATTTCAGGAGACATCACTCAAGGAATCGGGGTGATTAAGTAGAGAAAATTAAGAAGGAACTACTAACAAGTCTGCATTGAGAATAAACTCAACTCTGTAGGTATCTGTGAACCATATTATGCCTATAAAACACTTGAGTTGATTTCTGCTAGGTTTTATTGAAGCTGGATTATGATGAGGAAGTGTTATGGTTTATGTTTGGATGCCCCCCAAGCTTCATGCAGTCATGGAGGTGGCTGAACCTAGCATTGGTAATTGGTTAATTGCCTAGTGCTGAGATTGGAGGTGTGAATGCTGCCCTTACTCTGGGTAGAGAGCAGGCATTCAAGAAAGGGGAGAGAAAGGACATGCTTTTTGCCCTTTTGGGTCTTGTTACTTACAGTCACCATGAATGGCTACCCTTTAGCCACACCATCCTGCCTTGGAGCCAGCTGAAACCTCCAAAACCTGTATGTTAAAAAAACCTTTCCTTCCCTCATTTTGAGCATCAGATATTTTGTCTCAACCATGAGAGAAAAGTAGTCAAGACAGAATTCGGTACCAGCAGAGTGAGGTTGTTATTGTGAGTTTACCATGTGGTTCAGGAGTCTTTGGAAATGGCTTTGGAAAGAGTTTGAAAAGCTTTGGAGCTGTTGCCTGAAGGAGTGGTCCTGGAATGCCTTAGGCTGCTCCACCTGTGAGATTCTGGTCAGAGCTCAGGAGACAGAAGGCTGATAGAAATCCTGACTGTAAAGACCGGAAAGTTAATGCTGGAAAGGACTGCACTGGTTGTTGGACTCCAGTTAATATATGTCATGGCTTGGTAGAAAGTTTGTCTGCATTTTGGTCATATCCAGAGACTTTGCCTGAGTCTAAGATTAAGGGCAGTGGACTGATTAATCTGGCAGAAGAAATTTTAAGACAGTTGAAAGCTGAGACAGTGGCCTGGCTATTGTAGACTTTTAGCTAGATACATGTTGTGAATCAAGAGAAAAGGGTGATTTAAAATGTTGAGTTTGATCAGAAAGCTGTGGACTGTAAAGATAGAGCTTAGAGTGCATCTGCTGAGAAAGAAGAGAAAAATAAAAAAGATGGCTTGCGAGCATCACAGGATGAGGCCATGGGTATCCACCTTCGTCAGCCTCAACACAGTAAAAGTGAAAGACTTTGCTTGGAGGAGAAAGCTGCAGAGTGAAATGCTCCAGAATGGTGCCAGTGGCCACACGAGGTTCCAACATGGTGACAGTCGCACCAGGTCCCAGAATGGTGGTAACATTGAGAAGCTATTCCTCATAATCAGGTTCAGAGTGCTCAATGATCCCAGCACCTAACCCCTACAGCCAAGAGAGGAAAGCCTGGCTACTGCTCCAGCGGGCAGCAGACCTTGGCATCATCCACATGGCACTGGTTTTAGGTGCATGAAGAATGCATGGGTTCTAAGGTTAAGGCAACTTCCACCCTCATTTCAGATGGTCTGGGGGGCCAAGCACTGTACCCCCGAGAGGACAGTATGTGAAGCTGTGAGGGTGAAGCCAAAGGTGCAATGAAAATCCCAGAAGTTTAAAGAAAAACTAGGAGGCTCCCTTTTTTCTTTCCCTGGAAGAAAACTTGTAAATCACTTCATGGCTCTCTTTTTCTGACACAATCATTTTCACTAATACAAACTTTACACATTTTTGTTTACTTTTAGAAGGATTGAGACTACCATAAAAATGTGTAAGAAAAGAGAAAATTGAGAAAAAACATAAATCTCATCATAAAATTAAAAAATGAAAATGTAGGCACACTAAATCAAACTGTTTTACTCACTAATCTTGTTTTACTCACTAATCTTGTTTTACTCACTAATGGCCATCAAAAAGAAAAGAAAAGAAAGAAGAGGAGGGTGGAACTGAAAAATAGCCATCAAAAAGGAACACAAAGTAAAATGATAAATAAAATAATCAGAAATCAAATCATAAAGCTATCAAACAGATTACTTGGGACATCATGAAAAGAAATAGGGATAGGACAGTGAGGAAAACAGCAAAAGCAAAGACAAAAAGTCTACAAAGGCTGGTTCTGCTAAATAAAGTTAGATCTATGTGATAGAGTATTAGCAATTCCATGGGTTCCTCCAAAGGGTGTGAAGAGGACATGGATGGGTGTGATCATCTATGGGAAAGGTGACTTCTCAGTGTTGTATTTGTTTCCTTTAAATCTAGAAAAATATCTCTCAGTTGTACATGGTTTTAACACATCTGAAATTAGTAACTTTTTGTTTACATTACAAATATCATGTGGATAACAGTTTCTTTATAATGAAATCCAAATGAATCATTAAGTAGTTGTATTTTTCTGAAAATATGGCTTCAAAACAGTGGAAAGCTGTATGTATCTACAACAAAAAGCATTGCTTATTTGCATCTCTAAGTAAATGAGTTTACACATTTGATTTAGAATTTGAGTCATCACACTAGGAAAGCAGGGTAGGGTGTCATAGTGGTGGCATCTTGATAGAGGCTATATCCTGAATTTCATTAAATTTTAAATGTGTGATCTAATTTTAATCTTGCTTGGAAAAATTAACTGGAGGCAAATTTAGAAGAAATAAACCACTAGCCATGTGGTTAAATTTTGTATAGCTTCTGTATAGTTATGAAAGTTTATGATGATATTTTTTATCCTAGTTGCATATTAGGCACTAAGTAGACAGAAGATTTCAAATATAACTTTCTCTAGCAGCAAATAGCATATTTTGATATTGTTAATTTTTTATTTAAAAAGTCAAAATAGAAAAAATGATAGAAACAATACAGAATTTCAAAAAAAGGAAATTAACACTAATTAAAACACTGCATATTGTTATGTTAGAAGTAGTTGCTCAGGTTACAAGATTTAAGCATGGAAATGATCAAACAATGAAAGCACAAACTGTTCTTTTGGATGAACTAACAGAGATTAGTAATATAATTATCTATCTTGTGTACATAGATACTTATATGTGTGTGTGTGTGTGTATATATATATATATATATATATATATATATATTATATATAATCTTTCCCTTCTTACTTCTTCCTAATATTGTTAATTTTTAAAATAACATATTGAAAGT